TTTGCATCAAACCCTTCACTATCCTTTGTCCTCATCTACTCCAACTCTAGAGAGTAACAACGCGTACATGCTTCAAATGAGAGATCACAACATTGAATGTTTCGGAACTACGAGTCTTTCTAGTGATCTAGGAACTAATATTGTCAACTACGATTTTCTGGCTTCTCGCGATGTTGGCTCGGCCTCTCACTCTACATCAAACTCTCCGTCCACCACCGTTGGTTTGGAATCTCCGTTTAAAAGCTTTGATCCAAACTATCCATTCGGAGGTTTTGGAGGGTTCTATTCTTAGTTAATCACTAAGAGAAGGGATAAATTGTTTACGTGATCTCTTGTTTAAAGAGATAGATAGTTATTCATTAAAGGTAGTCAATTTCCAATTCAGTAATCCTGCTTAATATTTTTGCTTATTAAAAGTAAGCCTTATTTTGAGATCTATGTTGAAATAAACGGATTGTACTCCGTACGGTCGATGTTATTTAGCATGTAATCTTTGTCTTTTTACCAAATGTTTTTTTTTTTTTTTAAACCTTTTACCAAATGTTGTTACAAATTTAAACCTTTCTATTGCAAATTTGAGTATCCTTTTTAGCTACAATATTTTTTGACCGATCGATGTCAGAGAATGATTTAATACAAATTTAAGTAGTACCTTAACAGGCGCTACGGATTTTACAATGGTATTATTACATTTAACATTTTCAGTTATGAGACAATGTCATTTAATAGAATATGTAACTAACTGATTCGTTTTAGTGTTATTGATATATCATATCTAGATTCAAACCAGATTATGATATGTCAAAAACACTAAAACAAATCACTATGTTACATATTCTGGATTCAGAACAAATCACTATGTTACAAAATATATGCTGGAAAAAATGTCATTTAAGATATTGAATTTGTGAATGAAAGAAACATGTAATTAAGGAAATGTAAATCGATAAAATATATTTCCAACAGGTGAACGCACATCGACTTTTTACAAATGAACTTCAAAACTGTAAAAATCAGAAAACCTCTTTAATATCTCTACCAATAAAGTTTTTGGTCTCC